TAATACAATATTTGTCCTTTTGTGACTGACTTATTTCGCTCAGCATAATGTCCTCCAAGTTCATCCACGTTATGCGGTGTTCTGCAGATTTAAAGTAGAATATTTTTTAGGTTGGAGATTCTACTTGAAATTTATCTTATGCCCAGAGGCATTGTTATAAAAGAGAAAAGACAGAAAACCAAGCAACCATTTTTTAAACAGCTACTATTTATGTATGGCATGGCACAGTGGTTAAAGTGCTCAGCTGCCATCCAAAATGTTGGTGGTTCAAACCCACCGGCCACTTTGCAAGAGAAAGCTGTGGCAGTCTGCCTGCATAAAGATTTACAACCTTGGAAATCCCATGGGGCACATGGTCTTTATGAGTCAGAATCCAGTCAATGGTAGTGGTTTGGTTGATTTTGTTTGTTTTGTTTTGTTTTCACTAGGACAGTGTCCAAGATACTGTTAACTGAAGAAGCAAGTATAGTACACTGATACTTGTGTTTAAAAAGAAAAAGGTGGTAAATGATATTTAAGAAGAAAAAACCTCACTGCCGTTGAGTCAATTGGACTCACAGTGACTCCTTGGGTTTCTGAGGCAGTATCTCTATGGAAGTATATTGCCCAATCTTCCTTCTGAGGAGTGGCGGGTGGGTTTGAACTGCCAGCCTCTGGATTAGTAGTCAAATGCCTTAGACATTGTATGCCACACTAATAAATGGAGAGAATTTCTCTGGAAAAATACGGAAGGAACTGGTGACAGTGGTTCCCTCTGAGGAGAACCAAGGACTCTGGGAGTCAGGAATGGGAGGAAGACTTTCTTTTCATTGTGTAAGTTCGTTATATATCCTTTTGTTCTTTCTTATGTGCATGTATTTTTCAAAAAATAAATTATATTAAAAAACACTAACACATTAGAAAAACTGAGTTCCTGCTCTCCAGTAGACTTCAGTAGAAATAGTGGCAACGTGGTAATATGAAAACATGGTAGACTTTGAAGTCAGACAGATCTAGGTTCTAAGCTTGCTTAGGTCTGGCACTTACTAATTATATAATTTATAATCTAGCCTGTTTTCTCCTCTGTAAAGGAGATGATACCTGTCTCACCAGTTAAATTAGCAGGTAAAAGACCTTGTAAATAAATACTAATTTCCTTTTTATATACTAGGAATATTAGAAACTTGTAGTACTATATATTAGGGATTGTGAGGATGGTGCACAACTAGGTGGTGTTTTGTTCCATTGTGCATAGGGTTGCTAGGAGTTGGAGCTGATTCAACGGCACCTAACAAGAGCAACATATAATAGAAACATTGATATATTCTGCCCTCAACTCCAGTGAATATTGAGAAGTAACTATTGACAGGGTTTACAGATATAGATAGGAAAATATTTTTATTATGTATTAGTAAGTAATTAATGTTAAGGATGCTTGTAAAATCAACCGACTAATTCTGTTTGAAAGGAAGAAATGGAAGGAAAGAGGGATATAAGCTACAGAGAGTAAGCTTGAGAGGAGCAATGACTTGATTTTGATTTCTGTATCAGATGTGTGGAGAAACATAGATCCCCTGTCTTGCTCTTGCCATAAATTATTCAGAGACCATTAACTCAGCAGCTGTTTTGAGTTCTTGCTGTACATTCTTTCCTTATGTGGGTAGGCAAGTGCTCTTTCCATTTGCTGTATCTTTATGAATGTGTATCTGTATAAAAAATTATAACCTCACAGGCATGTAATGTGTGTCCGGGTATATTTGGGGGAGTGGGGTGTCTCCTGTTTGGTATGTGCAATCACATTCCCATCTTTTTTTTTTTTTTTTTTTTTGGTCTTGCCAAATAGCAATCAGGCCTGCAATAAATTCCAAGGTCTCCAAGTGCCGAATCCTTTCTGCTTATTTTGATTTGCATTTTGTGGAAGCATATGACTTAAAAAAAAAAGATATGACTTAAAAAAAGAGAGAGAGAGATGACTAATCTAAACTTAAGTTAGTGCTAAGACTGTTTTAAGAACTTTGCCAGGAGAGTGGATAATGAATTTAAGATGATTTCTTGGGGGTATAGCATTTATGGCTCCCAGGAGTTTCCAGGATGATTTGCTTCAGATAGGATTATTCAGGGTGGCTTATAAAAGAGAGAAAAACACTTGTTTACATGTTTCTGTTTAAATTAATAATATGAGGATTGAATATATTGTTAGAATTTATAGATTGGATAATTAAACCAGTGCTTAGTTTCCTGGTTTTTTCTCATAAAACATGGTAGGCAGTAAAGGTAGTAATTGATGATAGCCGGTTCTCCCTAAAACATAAAGGAACACACCCCAGAACTTAATAAAGAAAGTGATGTCTCACCAGTACTTTTATGACATCTCTTTTTAACATGACAGCATGTAAGATGTTTTACTCACGAATGTGAGCTGTTGCACAGCACTGATGGTTTTGTGGAGGCCAGCAACAGCCATTTCTTAGAAGATGGATTCTTTTCTTGGAGATTATGTGGAGGAAGTATGTTAAGGATTGAACCAAAAGAAAATTCCACATTCTAGCTGATATTTTAAGTAAAAGCCAATGGAAATTTCTGGAACACAAAGGATTTTACATACTTTATCCCTTTAAATTTGCTATTTAGTAAGTTTAGGCCCATTCCATAAAAAGTAGATACTATAAAGGTTATTTAAGGATTAATGTAAAGCTATCTTATTCTGCAGCATTAATTCACTGCTTATTCTTCTAATCTTCTTGTCATTGCTTTACCCCTTTTCTCTGCAGGTGGATCATACAATAATAATGTACTTGATTGGACCAGATGGTGAGTTTTTAGATTATTTTGGCCAGAACAAGAAGAATGCAGAAATCGCTGGTTCAATTGCTGCACACATGCGGGAACAGAGGAAGAAGAGTTAGCCAAAGCAGTGTTGTTGGGTGCGATAATCTCTTGCTGAAGAGGAAGGAAGCTTTGTCTCTCTTAGGTGCCAATATGTATGCAACTTACAGAATGGCCTTCATACTATGAGAACATCTATATTTTGGACAGGGTCTGTTACTTTTGGGCTCATTCAAAGTAGCTTCTTGGAACTAAAACCTCATTGGGACGGTGATATGAAGCCATGAAGAGTGTCCTTTTGGAAGGACGCTGCAGGAAGAAGCAAGTTGGCATGTTTACCCACATAAACAGTGCCCTCTTTGCTTTGCTGCCTTCCAGTGTCTTGGGCACTTTCTTCACAGGTTGTAGGACTTAATTTCTGCAGTGCTCTTGCCTTCCTCTGAGTTCTTAGTGGCTGATTTTTGGGGGGAAAACATTGTCAAATTAGACTTTCTACCATTCAAAGTTAATCTTTATACTTGAAAACTTAAGTGTTGTCTTTCTCGTTAATGAATGTCAGTTTCAAGTTTGCATTTCATTCCACAGCCAACAAGTGCTGATTTGACTAATGAAGAAATTACTATGTGGGGAAAACTTTTGGGTGTATGTTAAGGCATCTTCATGTGATTTTTAGCTAAATGACATGTCAGGTTTTCAGTGACATACTAAATGGATCATGAGTGTGATACAGAGTACTTTTCCACATACACTGGACTTCTCTGTGTATATAATATGTATTTGGTTTTGCAAATCAGACAAGCATGACCTTCTTTCTCATGGTTGAAGAATAGGTGCATAGAGGGCAGCACATAGCTCTCAGGTAGGGACTCATAGATGGGAGATGAAGTAGGTGGATGCTTGTCAAAATGCAGCTTCACAGACTCAAAGCTGGATTCGTTGAATCTAGGGTAGGACATGGAGATACATATTCATAAATTTCTCAGGTGACTCAGATGTTGGTCTGGAGATAATGCTTTGAAAAAGTGTTTATGGGGAAATAAGGTTTTGATCTGGAAGAATGAAGGCTTAACCTTTTGCTATATCGGTTAACAAAGTGCTGGGCATATACTTAGCCATTCAGGAAAGTGTGGGTGATGAAATGAACTCTTGTTTTTGTTTCTCAACTTCTTCAGGTACCTGGGCTTGACTTTCACCATTTTCTATCTGTAGCTGCAAAAGACATAGTACTTGGTCATACAATAGATTCTCATTGCACTCCAATTTTGTTTGCATGCACATGATACAGGCTATCTTCTGGTTTTTAAATTTAGTTATCAATACTTAAGTTAAACCTGGGTAAAGAAAAGTTAAGCACTTGACTACTAACTGAAAGGTTAGTGGTTCATACCCACCCAGAGATACCTCAGAAGTAAGGCCTTTAAAACCCTATGGAGCAAGCTTGCCAGCAGCTGTCTAGGTACAACAATGGGTCTCTCCTCATCCAGAACAAAGAAGAATGAAGAAAACCAAAGATCCTTGGAAATAATTAGTCCAGGCGACTGGTACACTATGTGATCCGCAGCCTATATGACTATGAGACCAGAAGAACTAGATGGTGCCTGGCTACCACTGTCGACCACTTAGAGGGAGATCTATGTAGGAGATCCTGGATAGAGAGGGAGAACAATGTGAAACAAAACTCAAAATCATTTGGGGAAAAAAAAGGGACCAGGTTTGCTGTTCTGGTAGAGCCTGATGGAACTACTGAGACTATGGCCCCTAGCAGTCCTTCAGATCTGGAATTGAACCCAGTCCTGTGGCTTCCAGCCAAACAAAAGACAGGCATATGAGGTGAACATTTATACTAGGTAGACACACTCTTTGGAGAAAACAATCATGGGAGAATAGAAGGGCTATATATGCACAGGGACGTAGCTCAGGGGGCAGGAGTGCATGGAGGGAAGGACACAGGGAAGAGATAACTATGGGGAGGAAGTGGGAGGGGAGCTGTTGCATTGGGGTAAATTGTAGTCAATGTCATGAGACAAAGTGTATGTGAACTGCTATATGGAAAGTGAATTTGCTCTGTAAACTTTCACCCAAATCATATTAAAAAAAAAAAAAAACCCTATGGAGCCGTTCCAAAGGAACCAGGTTGGAGTAGCTTCTCAGAGACAGCGGAACGAACACCTTGAGGGAGGGAGTCACCAGGGCTGGGGGCTTGGGACCATAGTCTTGGGGGACATCATGCTCATTTGGCACAATATAGTACATACAAATCTTGTTCTACTTCCTACTTTGTTAAGTAGCAACTGGAGACTTCAAAGCTTTCGAGTGGCCACCTAAGATGCAACTATGGGTCTCCCCTTGTCAGGAGCAAAGAAGAGTGAAGAAAATCATTCATTTGGAAGCAGTCCAAGGATGGGGACCTCAGCCATCATGACGCTGAGATCAAAAGAACAAGATGGTGCCTGGCTACCAATGCTAACCACCCAGAAAGGGATAAAAATTGGAGATCCTGGAGTGGGAGGAAAAATGTGGAATGAAATTCAAAAACACAAAAATGACCAGAATTACTGGTCATACCCCTGAGACTGTGGCCCTGGGCTATCCTTTGGGTCTGGAACTAGACTCGCTTCCATGGATTAGCTTTCAGCCCTGCAGTAGAAAGACCTACAAGCAAAACACCTACCACTAGCAGATGCACCACTGCGATCAACCAACCATGAGACATCAAAAGAGCAGTATTTGCATAAAGGGAAAGCTGCAAGAATACATAAATATGATCACAGGGAAGGTTTAGTCAGGGAGGAGTTAGGAGGAGAGGTTTTTTTTTTTTTTTTTTTTTAAATGGTTGGAGACTGTAATGGGGGCAGAAAACCAAATATGCATGAATTGTTGAGAGTAAAATGAATCTGCTTTGTAAATTTGCACCCAAATCACGATAAAAATTTTTGAATATAAAAACTCAGTGGGGCTGTTCTAGTTTATTGAAGTAAAAATAATGTGAAAAAGAAAAAAAATCATAAACTATAGCCATTCTCCTTTCTTTGTGTAGGTTTCTGAACAAGCAAGTACAAGATTTAGTTCAGATAAGCTACATGTCAGAAGTAGTTGGTTTGGAATGACTTTTCCCAAGAAGCTTGTCAAGTAGGTGAAGAACTTATAAAAGAATAGGTTCATGTAACAAGATATTAAGTCTCTGAAATGCCAGGCATTAAAAAAGATGATATGTTTTAAGCCACAAAACATTTGTGTGGATCACTTTGCTACATGCTTGCTCTTAAATAAAATTTAGTCTTCATTCTCAGCTGTTGCAGGTTAGAGCTTATGTAATGGTCCAGAAAAGGAACAGCAGCTTTTGAGAAATCTTTTCTCTTCATTCCAGTGTCAAGTTTAAAGGCTTGAAGTCAGGGTATTAGAAACAGGGAAAGGGGCCTCAAAGATGACCTAGTCTAAATCCCTCTATATGGATGGGGGGACAATTGAGGAGCAGTAAGATTTTGTCCTTATTTCTGACCCATATCCCAGTCAAGCCCCTGCTTATCCTTCATGCTTGTAGTGACCATACGTATCTAATCAAAACGGGGTATATGTGGTGGTGATGGGGTGGGGGTTGTAACATGCTGGGACAACTTGGCGGATTGGGAATTTGAGGAAATCACAATCAGGGCTGTCTTTCAGTGAATTATCACTTGGAGACCTTTACCTTGAATGTGCTACTGTGTTTTCACCAGACTCTTTAATGGAATTGATATTTTAAGAAATGTTTGCTTATTTGAAAAAATAAGAAGAATCCTGCCAGTGCAGTAAGTGTGCAAGTGTTAAATGTACCAGGCTCTTCGTGAGGCAGCTGTTATCTTAGGTGCAAGAAGAGCTTAGATTTACTGAGTACCAGGCTGATGAGCGTCCATGCCCATGTGAGTTGGAAGGGTAATGTGAGCCCAGTGAAATTATAAATGCATTGACATAAGATTTTTAAATGTTTTTTACTGTTTTCAAATAGTTAAATTTTTCCAACCACCTTTAATCCCCAGATAACATGGTTTTTTTTTTTTTTTTTTTTTCATACAACACCATTTAAAAACTTTGTGTGGGAGAACTCCTACTTTGGTAAGTGGCAAATGGGATCTTAAAAGCTTGCAAGTTGCCATCTAAGATGCAACAATTGTTCTTTTCTCATCCAGAGCAAAGAATGATAAAGAGAATCAAAGACACATGGAAACAGTTAGTCCAAGGGACTAGTGGACCATGTGAACCTATGCCTACATGACCATGAGACCAGAAGGACTACATGGTGACCAACTACCACTGTCAGCCACTTGAAAAGGGATCAGTTCAGGAGATCCTGGATGGAGTAGGTGAAAAATGTGGAAAAAACTCAAAACTGTGAAAAAAAAAGAACAGGCTTACTGGTTGATTAAGAGAATGGTGAAACCCCTGAGACTGGCCCATTGTCACTCTTTGGGCCTGGAATTGAACTCACTTACTTCCATGGTTTCCACCCCTACAATACGCCTATGGGGTCAGCAGTTACACCAGGTAGGTACACTCAGAAAAATCAACCATGGGATATCAAAAGAGCAACATTTGTACAAGGAGACAGCTTAGAGGGCAGGACTGCATAGGAAAGAAGGACACAGGGAAAAGGTAACCACAGGTAAGAAGTCGGAAAAGAGCTGTTACATTATGGGGATTGCAATCATGTTTGCATGAAACAAAATGTGTATGAACTATTGAATGGAAAACCAGTTTGCTTAGTAAACTTTTACCCAAATCACAATTTTAAAAAAAGGGCGGGGAGGAGGAGCAGTCACCCAGCCAAGGATTTACCATGCATTTAGGTGCAACTTTTTATTCATAATTAGGCGTTACCTTATCTGTAACAATATGGATAATTATTTCAGTGTATTGAGGTGCAGTTAATAACCTCTTTAGCATGAGTTCCTTACTATACCTTTAGACCATAAGAGGTAACTTATATTCTATTCATTTTTAAAGTTTATTGGTTTTTCCACAAGAAGTATATCACATCCCCAATGTAGAAAATTTGAATATACGTCACCATTGTTTCACTACAAAGAATCATCGTTTTAAAATT